AATGCATAAACTTTCGAGCCAAGTTGATTGCAGTTTTGTTTCGTTTTGTTGCTTCTGGCTTAGTTGTGGTTCTACTAGGACAATGTTCCACATTCTAAATGTATAACATGGATATAACACGTCAAGAGCAGTATATCACGTTTATATGAAATTTCTCTTCTCTACATTTACCATTGAATTTATATGTATGCCATGTTATTCTGTAGTGTAGTCATCAAGGCGTGTTGCATTAATATTTTTTAATCTAACCAGTAATTGGATAGTTGGTGTCGTAAGCTGAGGTATGTTTTCAAAAAATTATTGCCAACCAATTAGACGTAATTTCTCAGTTTAACTAAAAAAGTAATTCAAGACTTTCGATTACTAACCTGGTGAACTATTTTCACGTTCCTTAATAAGTTTTTTAATATTTTATGTGCCATTTTCGCTGAGTTCATTGGAAGACACCAATCAAAATATTATTTTACTTTTGTAATTTCTTAATATCAATTTTAAATTGATAGGTATATTATTAAATTAAGTTGTACATCAAATAAATTGACTAATTTCTCATAATTGTATTATTAGAAAATTTAATTTTAAGCGTTTAAGTTAGATATTAAATTTAAAGATGTAGAAGTGGATCAATATTGATACGAACCCTATTCAGTCAAAAATAGCTTCCGTACTACCCATTCATAGTAATTCACTGGTAATCACTTTCCAACATATATATCATATGTGATGATTAATTCAACTGCAAGAGATGGGTGTAGTTTTTATCAGATAGTTATACGTAGTTAAGTTTTTATCAGATAGGAGTAGCATAGTTACTTCTTTGAGGGGCTTCTATTATAGCAACACATATACTACTCTTATTCTTGAAGAACCCGGCTTAAATCCTCTCTTTCGTGAATGGTAGTAATCGGAGAAGAGTACAGACTGGTTGTGGATCACCAATAACAACTGACTCCATGAACGCGATTTTTAAGACAGCAAATATTAACCTTAATACAAAATATATAAGGTATAGATGGTATAAATCAGAGATCCTTGTTATTTCTTTTTTTAATACTTCCAGTTGTCCAGAAAAAACTTCATCAGGTACCCCGCTACAGAAGCCCTTTAATTGAAAACCTCTCCAAAGTCAGATATATTTCAAAAATATTCAAATTCTAGAATTTACAATAATTTCTTTGAACATAAGATCGTTAAGTATCAGATACAAGTATATGCCATAGAAATATATAAATCGGTCAAAGGTATTTGAGAGTTAAAAATTAATTGTTTACAATCTGATTAACTCTCGGAAGCTAATATTGATATAAAATTTGTGGTGTGTGTGTTCTCAATCTCACAAAAAAAACATAAAAAAACATAATAGTGTTAGTTTAGGTAGGTTAGAGTGCCTTGTGCACCAAACCTAACACTTGTCTGATGAATGATATAATGTTTGTACAATAGACTGAAAAGATCATGCTTAAGATAAATGTGTGAAGCAACCATCGTAGCTTTCCTTTCTGAAGGCACCTAACGAGCTCTGTCAGATCAGGCAAGTCAAGTCCAGCAAGTCTGTCTTTTCACCTGACAAGCCAGGTGAAGAACAGACCCCGATAAAAATCGTTAGAAGATAGACTAAGTTGTATTGCACACCTACATAATAAGCAGTGGTATGTCAACTCCGGTATTAAGTAGTATTTATTTTATTTATTTTGATTAAGATGAAGCAGCTGACTAATGCGAATTTTATTTAATTTGTATTAAATGAGTCTTGTGCTCTGACTAAGGCCCTCGACTATCTAGGTTCTCATTACAAACCTCATGTTAAATTGTTCGTTTAGTGGTTGGAATACCAATAACTCAAAATTGTATATGGTACAACAGTGTGCCCGCTTTAAGCACTTAGTATAGTTTCTAGCTGCCTAAGATATATCTGTGTTCATATACCCATATAAGTTAGACACTGACAAGCTTAAAGAACTTGGGCGTTGTCTGGCATTTTAAAACTACAAAAGATGAAGCTGTAAAGACTACCAAAGATTTAATTATATCTTAGTTGTAGCAGTCCAAGAAAATTACGATATTGATATCGGAAACTGTATGGCTCGGCATCATTTTGCTATGTAGTGTATTATTATTATATCCCATTGAAAGATGCTACAACGGTCTTCAACAGTCAAGACGCTACGAACCAATTTATTAGAAAAGTTTCCACTGTCGATTCAGTCGTCTAGGTTACAGTCGTCAGTGATTATTCTATCTTAAGTCCAGATATCTGTGCTGAGATGAGAGAACCAATCGCATGAACAAACTTTTGATTGTAGTGAATGCTACCATTTGCCGGTTTATGAGATTAAGGAGCATTAAATGAAACATTAACTTCGACTTAACAGTTCGACTAGTTCTTTTACAGAGTTTCCAATTAAGTTAAATTGTGTGTTGTAGTTGGTTAAACATGATAAAGTAGGAAGCTATGTTTAGGTTCGGGTTTTTGTACTATGTTGTCATACAGTGGTTTTGGTCTTGAAAAGTTATTAGATCACACGTAACTACTCCCCACTTCTTAGCTTAGTTTTCTGATATATTTTTATATATTGTGTTATTAAACATCAATTCATCTAAGTAACTTAATCAAATTCATAAGAATTATAGCATATTTTGAACCACGCCTAAAATGTATTTTGTTCATATAAAACTATTTCTATTATTTTATTTCTGATTACTAAAGAAAGGCACCTGTACTTAAAAGCAATTAGGAGATCAATATACCAGGTATATTGCATGTTTTTGTGTTTCTGTTTTTATATTTTTGAGTTTATTGAACTCTAAAATTTTCCTATGTCAATTTTATTGTAAACTGCCGTAATATAGACCTTATTTTTTATAAGTACATTTACCTTTATACTAATTTTAAAATTTAGAAATTTATTCAAATTACTTTAATTGAACTCTTCAAATACCGTCATAGCATGTAAATTGCAAAGCTGTTTGTTTTACTAACTTAAATTGTTAAGAAGCTCATAAAAATACTAGTCAAAATTTATTATTAAAAGCTGAAATATATACTTTACTTGAATGTATGAATTATTTTTGACATACCTACCTCCTTGGACAATGTCTAAAGAAACAAGTTACAAACATACTTCGGTGCATGCTTCAACAGTTTTCAAAGGTAACTGAACTGTAAATTCCAATAGATCGATATTTGGCACATTCGAAACTCTTTAAGCCACCTGTCAATATTCGTTGCCCGACGACTGTCATAAGGACTCTGCGAAATGGCGAAGCACACAGGACCGCATAGTGCATTTATTTGTATTTCTTGTCTTACGTCAAATATTCTTTATAATTAATTCTTCCTGTGTGGCATACATTAGACTTTATTTCATATCAAAACTAATTTTAAAGGATATTTTTTCAATAAAGATTCTGTTGGTACGTGTTCGGATTTAAGTTTCCCATAACCTTTGGCTTTAGACATTTTCCTCACAATACTAAATTGAAAAGAAAATCTAATAATTTTTTTGTTTATTTATGAAAAAAAATTTTTTGCTACTAATCTGAGTGACCAAGTGACACCTTCTCTTCGTTTGGTTCCAAACATACCTACATACAGACTATGACTAACTTCATCCTATTTTTGGTAACTAACTTTGTCGTTTTTGTTGTTATTTTCTATTTACAAACTTTTATTCATCACGTTGGGTAAATATTCTGCACACTCATGGGTAAAAACTAAATAATTGTTTTCTTTTCCACTTCCTTTTGGTTGAAGTGAAATTTTCGGCTTCCGGTTGTTCAACGTCAATGTCAGAATCATAAGCACGTTTTAACAATTTATTTAATATTTTGGACTGCAGTTTATTGTTTTAATTTGTTTACTTATAATGACACTCAATAATATAGGATATTCTGCATAGTAGTAGGGAAGAGTTTTTGAGAAAAGAGTTTTTTCAGATAGGAATTTATTGAGAATGGCATTAAAAAAACGTGACTATATAATTTATATATATGTAGGATAGGTTATCATTCTTCCAGATTCAGACTAAATTCTTTTATTGTGACATTGTGAGTTTTACATTCATCCTGAGATGTAAATTACACTTTTTTGTTGTTATTCTAAACTTTATTTGTAATCTATCTTATTAACAATAACCAAATTATATTGCTTATATTGTAGTAACTTCACAAAAACAATTTGTCTCCAATGAGATCAACTGTTAAATACATTCAAATAATGGTGTAATAGTTCTAATTATTCGTACACACTGTTTAATTTAATTTCTAAAAAATAGATCTAACATATAATATCTCTTTAACCCAATAGTTTGTTTACTATATATGTTTACAATAACGTTTATTGTAAAGATTTAAAAATGTTCAGTTCATTGGGTTTTCATATTATGACATAATTCATGCATACATGACCAGTAATTTACGGGATTACGTGCCGTTAAAGCTCAACATTACGGTGTTCACAATACACGTATCCAGATTAATTTCCCTTTTGGTAAGACGCAAGGCCTACTAATACTTTTGCTGAACTTTCGGTCACAGCACTCGGTTGGAAAACTTAACGAAAATAAATAAATACAATCATTCTACCCGTGTAAGTTTAGGTTTTAACCGCAACCGCCACACACTGCCAACCTCAATTGGTCAGAACAGCCAAAGCTGCAGGTACTGATCCGCGTGGTACCAAATACACACCTTCAATCGAGTACAGCAACTGAAAACTTACTCAGTACCTCTAACACTCCAAACAGTACCGGATAGTGCCGGGAGTTTCGCTGACTCTTACGACAGACATGCCTTACCTCCGGAATATTCTGACCCCACATATAATATGCTATAGTTTTGATATGGCAAGAATATATTAAATACACTTGCAAACAATAGATAGTAAATATTATGGCTCTTCCAAATATGATTCTGCAAAATGTTCTAAAATTATTTATAATGAATTATATATAGAACTTCAAAGCATTAAATATTTTTCTTAAAATTTTTTTAAAGGTGTCTTCAACATGTGTGATGTTTCCAGCATGGAAACAGACATCGTAAATGATAATAATAAAGAGTGTGCAGCCGAAAATGCGATAAAAAATGATAATCTAAGCAAGGATATAAAGAATTTAGACAATAATAGTCCATGCGAACGGAAATTAGAAACCAAAAAAAGTGATGAGGGTCTCACGGAGGAAAGTATATTATCACAACATGATACTGAATGTAAAATAAAACCAGAAACAAATAGTACTAATAAACAGAAACTAAAAGACGTACCTATAGATAAAATTGATTCTGTGAGTTCACAATCCACTAATAGTGAATTCAGTGAAGAGCATATAACTTATACAGATGATGGCATAGCGATTTATACGTGTCCTAAAACAAATTATAAATATAAATGGAGCGCAAAAGAAGAAAAGTGGGTTTCTTTGGAAGAACAACCGGAAAATGAACATTATTCATGGTGTACAGATACGAAACAATGGAAACCTAAAAATCCGGAAACTGAGCACTACAAATGGAATGCAGAAACAAACAGTTGGGAACTCAAAGCAACTGAAAATTCAACCGCAAATAATGATGCTAATACAGATGGAAATGCAAGTTCTGAATCTGTTACATATGGTGTTGATGAAAATGGCCATCGCACCTATACGGACAAAGATGGTGCAGTTTTTTTCTGGGATACATCGAAAAAAGCATGGTTTCCTAAAATTGATGA